TCTTATGATGCGGCGCATCCGCCGGAACACCGTCTGATTGCCTTCGTGAATATATATTGTATACCACCCTTCGCCTTCGTTACGCTCATTTCATTACTCTCATATTATACATTCCCCTGCATAGTAGATTACACCACTTGCCCCGCCGGCCCACTTTAGCACGGCGACGGCCAAATACATACCACCCTCTTTACCCCATGTAGCTCTAGCAATCTCATCCGGAATTCAACACATTTTACACCAACAAATTTACTTTGTTCACACCAACACAATTCAATGATCGGATGTTGCGTATTGACCTTGATGGTATGTTCAATGTTCACCATATTCCCTGTGCCCAGCTGCGCAGGAGGTCATCGACCCTGTTTGAGACTGAGTATCAATACATCAACAGGTACCATTTTCTGAGCGTATTTCGACTCACGCTTAACAAGCTGGACTCGGACATTCGTCTCAAACATACCACGATCCCCTCGGATCCGGAAGGCAGGCATCAATATTAAATTACCGCGCTTGACAAGAAATAACATTCTGCTGTTACTTAAAAAAGGCTATCATCCTTTCATTACTACCCCTATGGGACGGTCGCCTAGTAATATTCCATAACCTCGAGAGCATCCGATGCCATCCGTGTACTTAGTACTTACTGCTTCTCTCATGTTCGCAATCTAAGCACCATCGCGCACGTGCGAAAATACCACTAGGCCATTGCCACTGTCAGTGCTTGAGCGCGTTCCGCACTTGACTACTTATGGCATCCTGGCCCGTCTGGGGATTCAGAATTCGAACTTGCACACCCACTGACAGTTAGGCCAGTGACCGTTCCCTCTGCGCTTTCGTTTTTTCCCCCTTCATAGAAGAACTAGTCAACTGGTCACGACTCTAACTGACAGTAACTATCCGATTCGTGTTTTTATCCCTCCTATCAAGCTCCATTGTCATCATGGTAGGCATGATGTCCTACATCCATGCTCTGGGTCCCACGGGCCACAGTGCACATCACACTTTGATTGACGAGCGCCACTTTCTTCTCAGGTGACTGTTGGTACTGTATAATTCACACTCTGTGGGGCCATTGGCAGTAGCATAGCGGTAACGCGAACTTGAAGGCAAATGGCTTTAACCATTCGAGTCAAAGGCCCTCCTGTCTCATTGCATCGTTTTTGGCTGATACCTTGGTCCTCTTTTTTCCTTAGCTGAGGAAGGGTGTGGCCGGAGGTTGGAAGTATGAAATACTAGTGCAGTCCAGGGGGGGCCGGCGATATGGCATCCGATTCCTTGTGGTCTTGGCAGCTTCGACCCACTTGAAAAAAATCAACAACGTTGATATGCCAAAAAAAACCACTGTCGCGGCCCCCCATCATTCAAACCCTAACACACCAAGGTCACCTGGTCATTATCAACGGGTCCAAATTGGCCCGGGATTCTGCCCATTTCTTTTATATATATCGCGTTCGTCTGTCTCCCGTTCGACACACGACGGCGACTCACACCGGTGTCAACCTAGCTAGCAGCAAGGTCGGCATTGGTGTGGGCCGTTCTCGCCCTCGTCGGTGGCCGTGGGGCATTGGTGTCGGGCAGTGACCCTATTCAAGAATTTCAAGTCGTTATTGAACCTTTCAAAATCACCAGGCCGCCCAAGATAGTATTATACTGCATACTCCATGCACTGTAACCCTCTTCGTGCCAGTGGGAAAGTTTCATACTATATGTTCAATTGAACAGAGCCTAGGTTTCAATTCCCGCTTACCCGCTCCACCGAAAACTAATATCCTTTTCTTTCTAGCCTTCACCATGACTTGAACCCTCGTATGCTTCACAGGCGACATGTGATCAAGAGGTACAAATTTCGGGGCTGCATCATATATCGTGCCCTGTGCGTACTTGTTCCAGTATATTAAGAATCAACCCGTAACATGATGGCTATAATACTTCTCGAATTCTTTCAAGTCCACCAATGTTGTTGCCTCTTCGACATACACACATCCGGTGAATACTGCTCATCCGATGAACTCCGCGCTGAACTACTTCTGACTTCCCTGGCGACGTTATATGGATGCAGTGACCACAGCCGCCAGTGGAGAAGGACAAAGTCCAGGAAAATAGGTAAGTCGTCAACCATTTAAATTCCATCATATATAAACCGCCCAAACACAACAGAAGATCTCTCAATTGCCTGCCCGTGATCCCGGTCTCATGCAATTAAATAATTTGCTCTGTTCGAGTCCCATCCGGTGCGTTTTTTTTTGGCAGATATCTCAATTCTCTTGACCAGTCAATGGCAAACCTTCCCCCAACAAAAGACGACTTCCCGGATTATCGTAGCGGTTGTGTAGTCGAAGGTCCAGCATCGGCGGCTGCGACCCCTTGTCAATTCTCTTCAGAGTTCTTGCTGGCTAGGCTCAGCTCAACGGTGCCCAAGCCTCAAGGTCGTCCACAAATCGCATTTGAAAGCTACAAGATAACAGTACGGCGCGAACCCTCGTTGATTGGGTTTTCCTATTACTACCTGGCTAGTCAACTACTTACGCTTTGAGTAGGAAAAGAAGGGGTGGACGTCCTGTCATTCGTGTGCTTTTCTCGTCTTTCATTATATATGTAACCAAACCCCCAAGCGTTTATCGGAATTACATTCATTATCTCGTACAGTGAACAATATCTGCAATTGTCTTTGCAGTCTCTAGAGCTTCCTCCAAATGAGCTTCCGAGTCGTACCCGTCTCTGAAAATGGACACAGTCAGCTCGCTCAACTGGCGCATTGGCGGGGTCGTATCATGGTAATTCCCTTGCGTGGTGAGGGCACAAATTAGATCACCGAGGGTATCCGCGTAGACATTTCGGAGAAATAAACGTGATAGTTGTGGGGCGGGGAGTGCTAGGCGCGGTGCCACATCCCCCGGTGTCATCTCGGGCGACGCGCGGCTCAAGGCCTCCAGCACCTGCGGTTCAGGCTTTACAAGGGTGAGGGTCTCGAGTGCGTGGAGGCGGCTGAAGAACGCGTGGGCGTGGGATTCGCCCTCGCCAGTAGCAGCCGGGGTAGTAAACTCGACCGCTGAGAGGCAGAGGATGCGTAACTGGTGTATGGGCATGTGCTCCATCATTATCTTTGGCACCGATACCCCATTTAAATCATCGGCGGAGAATCCAGTATCTTTAAGGTCATGAATGAAGAGGTCCTTGAGATGGGGAACCTGCACTATGGCCATGAATTGCTCAAGGGCTGCGGGGAAGGGGTAGTCGACATCAAGATATGTCAATGCGGACATGACAATGGGAGCGCCGGAGCTTAGGCCCTTGGGAAGACCTCGTCCAAGGGTGAGATTTTCCAAGGTGACTGCATTCGCTTGCAAGATACCGCGTATTTGAGACCAGGTCGGTGGAGTTGAAGAGGCTAGGTTCGATAATTCCAATGTGGTCAGGTTTCGAGAAGGAAATTGTGACCAAACGGGAACAATCGACGCCAGGAGCAGGGACTTGAGATTCGGGAAGTTCTCCATCACCTCATGTGCATCGTTGACCTCTTCATATGGAACCTGCAGGAATGGTACGACGGGCGGGTCATCCACATCCCAAGGTTCCATCCATTTGATGGAAAGCGATTCTAGCAAGGGCACAGGCCCCCGGGGATCAACATCGTGATCTCCCTGGCGCCGAAATTCGGGGTACGAATGAGTTCGAACTCCTGTATCCTGTGCGTGTGTGGTGCGAGGAACGCTGAAATGATAGACGCAACCTCCATCCGCGTTACCTTGGGGCGAGTGCACATCACTCGAACAGCCTCCTCGATCCCCTCTACTTGAGGGTACCTGTTCACTGTTGGGATAACGAGCACAGTAACTCGAATGGGACACGGGGACGAGCGTGACACAAAGGCCGACGCGCGATCAAGCTTTGGTATACCCCGAGGTAGATTGCTGACCCGGACGTCTGACCACAGCAAAGGTGCAGATAGCACAATCTCCCTCCAGCGAGAACAGACGTGAGACGCGAGGATTGCGAAATTTCCTGGGAGGCCATATTCTAGAATGTCCTCTCCATACTCAACGATCTTCAGGATCAGCTCGTTCGGGAAATTCGCGATTACAGAACCTCGAGGAGGCGGGGGTTTACTGGGGGGCTTTGTTAGTCAAAACAATTCAGGCCTATTGTCAATGTGAGACATCCAAACCTTGCGGGGGAAGCTTCTATGATAACAATCATTTTTCTTTTGCGCGCAGGCGTATTGGGTCGAGGAGTGAACTGACAGCGCGTCTCAACGCTGACATATTTTATACCCCCAGATAAATTGTGGCCGCTGCAACAAGCGCGCGAACAAGGCCACAACAGTGCTTGGTGCCTGAACGCCTTTAATTGTGGGGGTGGCTGGGACAATGTGTCAAGGGTTCACCCTTGTCAGTCCACATGCGCAATAAGAAATCTCAAGTTTGTGGCCCGAGACTTCACTGGCCGTGCCACACCAGTCGATAATGCGAGAACGTGGGCGCTAGACCAAGACTCGGGCACATATTTGTCCTTGACTTGGCCCACCCTAACCCCCCAGGCCGATACGATAGCCTACTTCCCGGCATTGGCACGCCGTGAACCACAGGACCCTTCCGTAAACCCAAGATGCTAGTAATGCTGGCCTTTGGGAAAAAACGAGCCCCTGTCTCCGCCAGGACCCTACAAATGGATGAAGATATATGGCAAAATATCCGGCAACGGTTTACTTGTGTCAAGTTTGGGTTCTCTCCGCCTGTATTCCCTCCCACATTCCCACTAGACCCCTCATATTTTGTAGAGCGCGTCGTAATTTGACTTGTGTTTTTATTCATTCAAACTCTGTTATGAACCCAGTGTAGTACTACCATAGGCCCGTCGACAGAGCTTGCATCCATCTTGCTTCGCTGTAGCTGAATTACTCGAGGTTGGTAATGGAATGTTATCACGTTGGCATGAGCAAGTTAGCATGTTAACGTTGACTAGATGGATGAATATGAATCTTTTTTTCACCTAGTATGGCCCGGTAGCGTAGCGGTAACGCAGGGGCTTCATGGCTCCCTATAGCCCTGTTCAAGTCAGGGACTGGGTACTAGTCTCGTCCAATGCATCTTTTCTAGCACATACCTTGATTCTCGGTCAAAGGTCAAGAGAAAATACAAAAATTTTTAAGTTGATCAGGGTTGCGCCTGCCATGGCCAATATCCTTTCCAGAGATATCTGCGTCAGATTGTGCAGCAAGATCCCGACATCACCTAGACTTGTTGATCGGGACGTAGACCACCAGTGGTATACACGATGGTATTAAATAACGAGATAAAAATGGTACAACAAATGATATATCAAGTCCTTGTCCGTGGCGACGCTTTGCTCGCACTCAGGTCCTTGATGTCAAAGAACGTACTCACTCCAAAAGCAATACACAAGAGGCAAGCCGCAGCAGATGATACATTGTACGCATTACACCTAGGCAGGATAAGTGGGCTATCATCATGAAGGGAAACTAGGCGTACCATCCCTCGAAGCCACCACTCGGACACCGTTTCCCAAGGAGAATCAACACGAACACAGCACCCCACAACAGCATGCCTACCACATCCACAATCGCTAGTTTCTTCGCCCACGCACGCGCACGCTTCCACTGCTCTTCCATTGCAAGGCCGGCAAATATGCTCCTCCTTGGCCGTGTACGCTTCTTCCGTCGGCCTCCCGTACCCGAACCGTATGCTCCTGGAATGGACCCAGCATCGTAATCGTCGGCGTTCCACGTCCCACGATCCAGCTCCTCCTCGCTTTCATCCTCATTGGCTCTTCTTCCACCAAACACCCCGGGGTCGACGATCAGGTTTACTTGTACGTCGCCGCCGTCCCCGCCCCGCTTTCCGCGCCCCCCGCCTTTCTTCTTTTTCTTCTTGCCTCCCGGAAGACCCTGGACTGGGAGCACCATCATGCCATTCATGCCTGGGCCTTCATCGGATTTTCCGGGGCGTTTACCAGAGCAGCAACAGGGGCGAATGATGAAAAGGTAGGAGAGGAGGAAAAAGGTAACGACTGAGAGAATGTAGAGAGAAAATGCCGGAGGTTTGCCTGCAGGTGGGGCGGTTTCTCAGATTTTATCACCTAGCAAGAGTTTCAATCCATCAACGGATCTATGGAATCAAGATGAGTAAGGACAAGGACGTACAAGTGCGCCATAGATCGAAGGAATTGCAGCAGCGAGCGATAGTATGATCTGGGCACCGCGTACCGCCGAGCGTTTCTTGGGTCCTTGCGTGACCAGCCGACCTCTCCGGTCCACAGACCCAATTACTGGTTGTTCATTCTCGCCCGGATAGCCTTTCCCATGCGCGCCAGCGCCGAACTCACGTTCAAGCATACGCATGCGCTCTGCTTTCAAAGAGTCGTCGACGTGCGCATAACCGGGGGGATCGTTGCTCCATGGGAGCATTTCGCGAGAGCCGTGCGCGAACGAGGAGGACGGCACGTAGTTGCTGCCGTGAGGGTCGGAGGAATACGGAAGGCAGATTTGTGTATGTATCCTGGGTCGAATGGGGAAGGTTTCTTCGTGGAAAGATGGGAGCGAGGGATGCTGGTGTAGATGTCATCATGGTTGGGGATGGGGTATTAAACCACCCGCGAGACCAGGGAGGGAAGGTAGATATATCAACTTCTGGGTCGTTTACTGTGCGTACGTGTTCGTAAGAAGCATAATGGGCATTACTAGAGTGTCTGGATGGCGGTGGGAGTGAAAATAGGCGATGAGACGTATGAGAGGCATGTGTATTTGATGTCAAGGTGTCGCCCCGAGATACCAGGGATGGGGGTTGGGAAGGGCTCCAGGCTGCCGGCGAGGGCGGGTACATTTCCGGAGGGAAGTTGGTGGGATACAGATCTCCTTGTCTTGTCCTGAGAGTTTGGGCGTAATCTGCGAGATCAAGTGCCTCGACAGAAACATCTGAAGGCTCTCGGCGTTGGTGCAGCTGTGAAGGATATCGGGAGTATTCTTGATCTAGGCCAAGTTCTGGATAGCCAGAACGATGTGTTCTTGCGTTTAGCGTAGAAGGTAAGGGGTCGTACGGATCTGGTGACCATGGTCGGCGGAACTGTGATGTTGGGGGTGGGGTGTCCAATCGTTGATGATACATTAGGATCGTAAGGTTCGTTAGTCGTTATTCGTTGCGGTCGTAATTAGTTAAATGATCCGGATGTTGCTGGTGATAAGTAGAACCTTGAGCTCGCTGTGTGGCCTGAGGAGCTCGAGGCGTAGAGTCAGGGGAGTCGTGGGAATAATTCGCAGCTTTGGCGATGTCTAATTTAGGGATTCCCAACCCGCGCCGCTGAAAGCGGCGCCTAAAACAGCAAATTTAGCTGGTTAGGGTTAGGGTTTGGTTAGCGGTTTGTGGTTAGGGTTCGGTCAGATTTTAGTTAGCTGTTAGGGTTCGGTTAGGGTCCGGTTAGGGTTCAGTTAGAGTGAGGATGGCAATATGTATAGATATATTATAATGTTACAAGAGTACTGGGGGTGTTTGAGGCTGGGGAAGCCATTCTACAAGATGTGGACTTGTGCCCAAACCGTCGAACATTTTATTTCAAACTCCGCCTCAGCGGCGCGGGTTGGATGTCCCTAATTTAGGGGTTCTGGGTGTGCTAGCACCATTCCTTCACATAAATTCACTCTATTGCAATTGATTTTAAAATTACATGGCATCGTGATTGCCTTAATCTATCCCACCATTATTAATCCTTGGGAATGTTTTTAAATTCTCCAAATTCCCATTTGTGACAATCCTACAAGAAAACGTTCATCAAGAACTCAGATAGTTGAGAGAGGGACTTACCACACAGTCCTCCTCTACCCGTGCCTGGGGTACCTCTCGCCCTTCCTCCCATTCAACTCCCTCAACCTCCAGCACTTGTTGAATTACCTGCCGGACGATGTGCTTCCGCACATCAACACTCCACCCCAATTTATTCACTGTATCGTACACAATAGTTGAACCAAGATGGCAGCGCGTCTCCAGAGCATACCCTGCCTGCGCGCATGGTGATGTAATCCCAGTGCATGCGCCTTGTGGGATGGGATCTGCTGAGTGGTATACATGAGTGACGGGAACAGGTCGAGTCGCCAAGCTGGCGCTATTATTGATGTGGGCAGGTGGGGGAAGTGGGAGGTGTAATCTAGTAGCGGCAAGACGTTCGCCAGGGGATTCGAACGCAACGGCCGGTAGCCCATAGGTGGACCCAAGAAGACTCGCAAGTGCTCCGCCAAGGGAGTGGCCGACGAGCCAGACGTTTGCACCTGGATATATATGTCGAAGATCGTCTACAAGGCGCTAGAATCATAATTAGAGTGTGCTTGTGTGGTGAGGGGTAGGGTCGCACCACGCCAATGGAGTAGAAGAGACTCTCTTCGATAAGTGCGGTGGAGAGGCAGGTATCATCACACCGCCAGTGATTAGCGTAGCAATCACAGACCGTGCGGAAGACCCACGAAACGTCAACACGCGCGCAGCAGCACGAAAATAATCTGTATCCATATAAGTTCGACTCCGCATTTGAGCTGAATATCGCACAAATTATCATTAAATTTGTCCTTCTTCGATGTCGGACCTTGGAGCGTCGTTCCCTTGATAGATAACACAACTGTTGAATTATCCGATGATAAAAATACATGGCCGCGGAACCCGTCCGTAGTGTCTTCCCAACCGAACGGGAAGCTCTGCATAACGTGAGTTTGTAACCCTCAGCGATAATCGCACAACGTGCGTACCGTATTCCAGGCCTGGTCAACCTCGTACCAGTTCTTCTTCCCAGGAAGAGCATAAGCATCCCCAGCCATGCGCGCGAGCTGTATGAGCGTATGACGATCTTCAATATCCGGACCTTGGATAACATGCGCATCCCAATCGATATCCTCACTCTCTGCGCGAGTGATCGAGCGATGTCTAGCGTTTCGTAAAGCGGATAATGAGCGGGGTCGATAAACGGTCGTCGGTCTGCTCTTGAGGGTCGGGGAAGGGGCTACATTATTAAGCCGGGTCGGTTCTATGCCTGGGTAGGGATATTCAGTGGGTCGGAGCTGATGGTGTGCATTGAATGCTAGCTGAGACGCCGAGGCAACTGAGAGTGTAAATAATGTTGTCAGCAGAGACTTTGCGAGCATTTGAGGGGCATCAAGTGAGTAAGTCGGATGTTCCTTGTAGGAAGGTTGAAGCCCAAAAGTGGTTGCCGCAGTGGCCCTTGCTGATCGGAGCATATGCGGAAGTCATCGACCTGGGAACATAACATGTGCAAAGATGGATGGTCACAATCACAGGCGCGTCCCCTCGTCACAGCCACGGTTACCCACTCGCGACTATCACTCAGATAGCTATCTCCTATCTTATTAGCCAAACACGCGCCGAGCCATTATCATATGAGTTTTACATCAAATGGCCTGCTTGGACCTCGGCCATTTCCCCCAGTTTCAGACGTTGAACCCCCGAGGGACCATCCAGAGTCGATTAGCACGAACATCTTCACACTGAACGGCTTGTTGAACCCGACTGGCCTCGGAGCCACCGATGAGAGTACCGAATCGATATCAGACGCGTCTTATAGTGAGTTGGTTCCATTTCCCCTCGGTCGATAATTTTGCAACCGTTGCCGAAGGCGTTTTACCGAAAGATAGTGCTCGCGCATATGAGGGTACATCAGCACCGGTCAATGAAGATACCTACCTCGAATTCGACTGTACATGTATTTTGCAAATCATTTGTATGGCATGATGACAAGCAATTTATAGCCGCGGGCGCATTCACACCAACCAACCTGCTTGGTTCTGGGTCACAAGGCAAGTAGTACCCTTTCTTTTTATTCCTTCTAACTTCCTTCAAGATGTCCATCCCCTTTCTGTCTCTGAATCCTTTGGGTTTCCGACAAATCTGCTGTCCCGAGGGTCCAGGAACTTCGCTGAGTCAGACGTGGGGGTGGCAGGCCCATCACATTTTTCCATACGTGCTACAACGTTTGAAGGGAAGACCGTATATATGAAGCGAAAGCCAAAGATCTCACATGAAGCGCGAAACGTTAGCCTTCCCTTTCTACCCCCTA